TTCTGAAAAATCGTATTCAAACTGGAGAAGGACCGCCATCGATCACCAGATCTGCTATTACTGGCTCTCATAATAAAAGTAAAAAGAAAACCCTATGTAATTACTATATAAAACATTTTTCCAAAATGTCGTTTAAATATGTATCCAGAAAAAAACGTATTTTTTCAGGTAGCTTTGCAGGAAGGTTTTGGATGCATGGAAAGCTATTGCTGGGATACCTTCAAAACAAAACAAGGAACCTTTAAAATAGCATAATGTAGCACTTTACCATTTCAACATTTTCAAAATTAAGAAAGTATGTAATGAGACTTGGTATTTACACTAACGTTGAAAAGTTTCAGGTCCGTAAGATTTCCACAAAAATATTAGGCATTATTAATATTAATTTCTTATTATATTGATAATAAGAAATGTTTCTTGATCACCAAATCAACATATCAGAATAAAGGATCATGTGGCACTGAAGACGAGTAAATCCTTCACAGGAATAAATTACTATTTAGGCTAAAATGTTCAAATATATATATTTTTTAATTGTAACTATTTTGAATTATATTGAAAAATATTGCTGTTGTTACTGTATTTTGGATCAAGTAAATGCAACCTTGTTGAGCATACTGTAAGAGACTTTCAAAAATCTAAAAAGAAAAATCTGAACTTTTGAACAGTTTGTTTTTTATATTTAGTAAAAAAGAATAGCTTTCATCTGTAATAGCCATTCTTTTGCGATAACACTTTTTTCCATTCCGAGGAGGTCACTAAAACAGCTGAATGGTATTTTTCATTGACCTCACATTCAATTTAATTTTATTGTGGCTCTTTTCTCATAAATCTACAACATTAGTCACCTTTAGGATACGATGGCTCAGTAGCATCTGACACGCACACCGGGCTTAGCTTTTCTCCCTCTTCTAATTGGCCTACAGTAAATGGTTCATACAGTGATGTATAGATCTTACAGTGGATACTCTGAATACATTTTCTCAATTTCATTTTTCTATGGACCACCAGGGCTTTGGTCAATATCAATTGCAATGCCTGGCTCCGGGCAGACAAATTCATTTCAATTACAATTACCATCGTCGCGACGTTGATTTATAGCGTTGTTTTCTTTCCAGCGCCTTCCCGCTCCCATTAATCACCACTTGCCTGCCCGTATGATCTGCAGTTCATCTACCTGCCAAGCGGGATTGCTCCGCTGAGCATTGCTCCGCATCACCCCCCGTCAGAGACCACAGGGAATATTAGTGTCCTTAATTCACACTCCATCTTTCCACATTTACTCTCAACAATGCTAACTTACAGGAATGCAAACGTGACGTGGTTCTTTGCTTCTCTCGTTACTCACTCAGTAGATCTTGTTAAACTCATTCTTATAAAAGAGGTAATGACATATACAATAATAAAGTAAAGTAATCTTTTAAAAATCTAGTTTTAAACCTGTGTCAAGTTCTTAGGATGTACTCTTGGTTTTCATTTTGTTTTCATATGGTTTTGAAAAACTTTTATACTATTTACAAAAGTGCAGGCTACATTTAAAACTCCAAAAATGTCGTGGTGTGTGACCAAAAAAAATCCGTACACCTTGAATACAAGTGCACACATCCTATTTTTTAAGTTTTTTAAGAGTTACTATTTTATAAATATTACCACATGACATTTTACAATTGGATCTTATCTTGACATTAATGTCAAATTATCTGATATTTTGAGAGGCTCATTGACCTTGACACACAGTCATGAGCATCTGCAAGTGTCCATTCTATGATATAATTTTTGGTTTTATGTATGAATTGCATTTTTTAAATATATATATATATATATATATATATATATATTTAAATATGTTAATAAGCCACTCCAAAACAAATGCATTGTTTATTGACACAAACAAAATATTGTTTGTGTCAGTATTGCTTCAAATCTTTGGTTGTTACATGTACATTCACTGTTACTATTCATTTACAAATGTTTAATTTTCCCATTTCCTAATTCAACAGGCTTCCAGTAAACAACCTCATTACATATTTATGAGGTTTGGCCATGTCATATCCTCATAAATGCTGTATAGGTCATGTTATTTTAGAGACACAAGACTGAAAGTGTTCTGTGACGTGCTACCCTCTCTCAATTCACCATTTGGTTACAATCAGTCTTGTAAAAGCTGTAACTATTTTGGATCGTCTGGAAATGTTAAAGACACTGTCTCTCGTTTTGTCAGTGCTTCCTCCTCTGTATTTCAGGGTGAGTCAGAGGCTCAGACGTCGTCTAAATATGTAATATAGGGTGCCATTCCAGGGCAAGCGTAGCTGCCGCTGACATGACTGTGTTTGCACTGTTCAGATTTGTCCCCTTGGCTTGGCAGCTGCCGCCGGATCCTGCCGTGCTCTCCCGCGGTCATCCTGTCTCAAACGTCACGTGAAGAGTGGAAAATACGTACACATTCGCAGGCACCCCGACAGTTTCCAGAAAAGGCTGTGATTCAGGCCTCCAATCCAATAAAACGAGATGCTGTGGTTCAGCCTGGACAGATTGAAAGTCTGTTTGGACAACATTTTGATTGTCCTGTTTTGGGTGTTGTGGGAAACAGACTGGGTTTCAACCAACATTGGAAACTACGCATTAAAAGTGTAACTGGAGTAATTTGTCACAGGGCAGATTTACTCTGGATAAAGTTATGAGAGTCCTTAAAGGTTAATTCTAGCATGCTAACGTTAGCCTATTCGCAGGCTGGAGAAAGAGAAGCTCAATTAATTTATGGTTACAAAGACTTTGGATCATCTTCCAAAATTAAGTTAAATGGTAAATACTCAAAAGAATGTCTTCCTGGAAGGATCTGTTAACTAACTTGCCAAAATGACACTTCCTTTCCGATATATTACTTCCTTGTCATCTTAAATCAACAAAATAGATTCCAGTGAACTTTTAGTTACGGACACCTGGTTTTTCTTACTTTGGCTAAAGATGATGGAAAATGTACAGTTGGATTTGGTGTCATCTGAGTGAGGGGTATAGAAGTGAATAAGATCTAAATATGAGCTGAACGTCTCAAACAATGATTGTCTTTCTGCAGCCTTAGTTATAAGGTAAGATTATTATCTAGTATTTTAAGATGGTATGATCATGTCTCTTCATTCTTGATGATTGAAATATCATCTTGATGATGAAATATCAATATTTAACTGTTATCAAATTATTTGTGTTTAAAGATTAACTAAGCATTGAAAAAAAAAGAAAATGCGCATTCACAATTAAATGTTAAATACTGATCAATACCGATAAATAAATAAAAGATCTTTAATATCGGCCGGTAACCAATAGTACACGAGGAATAATTGACAACGGACCGTTGAATTATTAGAAAAATAATGCGTACCTGAGGGGGTAATTGTTTTTCAATAAGTCAGGGCCTGCTGTCAATTATTCCACTTATTCTACGGTTGTGTTTTTCACAACATTTGTCAGGTTTTTGTCCTTAAAAATCTCTTGTGTATTGGACTTACGCATCTCATCCCATGCCTCTGTTGCTAATTCCAAAAAGACATTTTCATTCATAAGGCAGGACCTTACTTCCAGACCTGGACGAAGGACGGGGCCTACGCCAAAGAACTTTGAGACGGAGCTTGTCAAGGGTTTACTTATTTATTTTGTCTGTAAAATCAGTTTACAAAATAAAATTCATTCGTATGAGAGTCCTCCCGATTCTTTTTGATAGAACTGTAATGGGGTCAAGACCTGCCTTGAACTACTTTAGCCGTGTGTTTCCCAGAAAATAATTGACTGTTCGCAAAAGCCACACCCCCTAGGTATTGTTACTTCGCCCGTCAAACGAATTGTGAAACTGCCCGACAAATTCCCATGAGGTGTCTGTGCGTGTGTCAGTGACCTTTTTTGGAGCAATACCTCTGCGATATCGTCCAGATTGAGGCACAAGGGGTTACAGTATGCAGTGGATTGATATATTCATATAATAAAAATACGCAATGAAGGAGGCACGACTACTATCGTGGCGAATGCTTATACCCGTCTCAAGTGAAATCTGAGAAACCCCATGACATGTACCTCAAATGCAACCAAACACAGCCTTGAAGAAGATTTTACAAGCTGGATCAGTGGCTAATTGTTTGGAGTTAGAAATATATAACTAACGCTATTTAAGGTTATTTCTATTCCTTACGATATTGATATATGAACTGATGTTTTAAGTAAGCTTCATGCTTTACCCATTGCGAGCGTGCACTCCTCTAAACTGTAGTCTACGAGTGTAGCACTGCTCTAGGTGACTACTGCTCATCCCCCCCCACCCCCCATGTATCATGTTTACAACAATTCTTTATGTAATTCCTTTGTGGATCCTCTAGATCTGCTTTCTCCATGTTTCTTTGACTAATCTCAGTGTCTCAGTCTCACGTACGGTGCACACGAGTTAACCATGTTCGACACATTTAACTGGGAGTGGGGCCGTCCACACTGTTTTATCCATTGTAGGCACCGCTCACGTTGTGTTTTCGGCTTTGGAAATGGAAAGAACACAACTCCAGACAATCTATAGGGGTATCTATCGAGGTACTCCAAACCATCTATCGGCCGTGGGCGCATCGCTTCACCATCTTGCTTGGAGTCAATGTTTGACGGACCTGATCACATAGTGACAGTTGCTATGATGTGTAATCGGACAATGGCCGTTTAGGGGGAGGGATCGGCGAAAGGTCAATTGCACGCCTTAGAATGTTTGTAAACTAATCGGATTCAACTGCCCCGTACTATAAAGATATATTGTGATTTGCGCAGATTCTCTAACACATGGATCTGTGCTGATCTGTGCTGGCAACCCAAGTATAAATCAGTGACATTTCCTCATTTTGTGTCATTCTCTATCTGCATCTATTAAAGCAGCCAAAAAAAGCAGACTGCCTCTAATGAGTGGAGTCTGGCGGGCCCGGCCTGTCTGTGAGCGATCCGTATGCAGCTCACTCAAGGCTGGATTGGTGTTTTTTCAGGAAGTGCAGCTTCTCCACAATGCTGGTCCGATGAAAGCAGAAGAGCGCTATCGATCGGGTTCTGGGGGAGGATGACCTGCGGTGGAAGTGAGGCTGAGCTGCTGAAGAGTGAAAGGAGAACTGGAAGGGTTCTTAGGACCTCTGAGGGCAGATGAGGAGGTATGTGGGGGGCATCAAACCCTTTCTTCTCTCTCTCTTTCTCTCTCTACCACTCTAGTTTACTTCCACAGGGCTTCAGAGTGTGCAGTGTAGTGTTGCTGATGAGAACTGTTGGAGCGGAGCTTAGCGGCTGAAGGTCAGAGAAACCGCTGACTTTAGGGATGCTGTGCCCACATATTCAAAACACACACTAGCCAGAACCCAAGTTGGGTAAAAGTCTTGAAATATGACTCACTTTATTTCATAAGTTCACTCAATATGGGACCATTGAGCAAAAGTTAAAGCTATTATCCAAAAGCTATGGGCTAATGTTTGTTTTGATGAATTTCACCTTTTTTCACAGGTCAATGATAATCTAATGACTTAATTCCCCAATCAAAAACATAACATATTTTGACACATTTAATTTTTTTTTAAGTCTTTAAAGTTAATATAGATGTTAGTTTATGTTTAAGACTATAAAGATTGGGGCTCACAATTATTGACGTTATGTCTTATACAATTGAGATAATCCGTAAAATAATTGTAAAAACATAATGTATGAAAAATCAATATTCATTTTGGGAGCTAAACATTACATTCATGCCAATTTTAATGTAAAAATAAAGGAAATTACCGTATATAATTTAATGCTGGAATTCAATACTAATCAAGACCGCTAAAAACTCTCTTATAATAATATTGTCCAATGACCAATATAGTACTGTTATATCGTGCATCCCTTAGTTTGCGCAGATGCTCTAACACATCGAGAATTGCATTAATATGATAGATATTCAGTTAAGAAGTCACTATGTGTGATAGACCTTATGTCCAGACGTTACGACTCTGTATTGTGGAGTCTGCTATTCCTCCATTACCCTCTTCAGCAATTTAATTAAAGAGGGAGAAGTGATTGAGTTTACTAGAAACCGAATTACCTCACTGTCATCTGTGTGGCAAGACCAAAACATCTCGTACATATTGTGAGTTAATGCACAGGTTTACCTGCATTGCCCTTACTGATATAATAATTTCCCAATATCACGTAATATGGACCATCTCTCCTGGCGTGACCAGCCTGTGGAGCCGATGTGCCCCGGGGGACAAATCGGCCTGGGCGGCGCGCTAATTGAAACGTGTCGGCGACTCATTGACGTCTAGGCTCTTGTTTCAGGGCTATTTCAAACCACAATGCTGATTGCTGGTTTCAGATCATGGAGGGAAAAATCAATATGGCCTGAGAGATCAGGAACTACTCTTTGCCGGTTTAACTCTTGCTGTATACCGGTAAAAGAATAGTCCTATCTGAACAATGTGGAGACTTTTTAGTTCTTCGTTCAAGAAATATTTCTGTTCTGCAGAATATAAATCTTAAATATCTTTATAAATCATAATAGTATATATTGTACTTTCTTGAATCTTGATTTAAATAATGCAATGCTTTTGTGTGTTATATGAAACCACTTTTGAAACAGCAGATTTATCTTAAGTCTTATTGGTTATCTCAAAATAATCCTGCACATTTCAGCTGTTGGTGTGGCCTAAAAAAATGGCCTATAAATGCAATTTTGTGGAGGGCTAACTGTTCGCTTTCTTTGATGCCCTCCACATATTGTGGGGCCTTTTGTAAAATGGATTGCAGATGAGATAAAGAAAAATGTATGTTCCTTTCACAGTTTGGCATAAACAGAATGGCACTGTTGTCAATAACGCAAACTCTTTTTTTTTCTTTCTATTTACAGTATGGTTATCATGGCAGGGATGTATTCAAGCTATGCAGGTGAACATTTGGCTATCACTGACCGAATGAAAGTCATGACATTATCTGTGAGTACTTTTAAATAAGTCACAAGTACAGACCATGTTTGCATAATGTGATGTCATGCATATAGTAATGGTAGAATTAGACAATAATAGTCCTAGCGTCCTTGAAAACAAAACTGGTGTTTGGTATGCATGTATAATACCGTTCAATAGTCAGTATAGGATATTTATATATCAGTAAGTATGTATTAAATTGATTAAAAGTGGCAGTAAAGACAATTATAATGCTATTAAAGATTTCTCTTTAAAATAAAAAAGTTTTTCAGGATTCTTTGATAAATAGAAAGTTGAAAGGATCAGCATTTAATCATGATTTCCACAAAAATAAAATGGTTTTCAACATTGATAATAATAAGAAATGTTTCTTGAGCAGAAAAATGTATAATCTTGTGACACTGAAGACTGGAGGAATGGTGCTAAAAAATATCAGCTATTTCATCATAGGAATAAATTACATTTTAAAATTGTAACAAACTTTTGTTACTGTTTTACTGTATTTTTGATCAAGTAAATGCAGCATTGGAGAGCTGAGCACATATTGACCTCTTTTGAACTGTAGTGTATGGATGCATATTTACTTTAGCCATTAGTAATGGTAAAGTGAAGTGTTTAGGGAAGAAAAGGGGATGAAGTTTTGTTGCTTCTGATGGTGTTGACAGCTTTAGACACTGGGCTAAAATCAGTATCCTCCCTGGCCGCCCACCCACTCAGCTAGGAGATAAATCCCATGTGGTAGCTTGGGCTGCCAGTTGGGGTCACAGACTGCCTCCATGGCTGGATCTAGATCCCCAGAGAGCAGCGGAGGGCGCCGACACCACAGCACAAACCTGAGGAGACGCTCAGGGTTTTACATTACACAGCATCACTTTACCGGCGCTGCATGAGCTGGCGACTGTGATCCCGAAAGTCCCTCTGGAGAGTCCATTTAAAATCCAATAGAGGCTTTATGAGAACCTGTA